TTTTGGAGGATGTGGTGGCCTGAAAGGGCCGTTGGTTGTGTATGACAAGCATACTACTTCGAACTGGTATACTTGGTGACTGCTTTTGTTCCTTCACTGACTGCATGTTTGGCAAGCTCACCGGGCAAAAGAAGACGGACAGCGGTCTGAACCTCTCTGCTGGTAATGGTTCTACGCTTGTTGTAGTGTGCCAACCTGGAGACCTCTGTGGCGATACGTTCAAATATGTCGTTGACGAAGCTGTTCATGATCGACATAGCCTTGGATGACACACCAGTGTCTGGGTGAACTTGCTTCAATACCTTGTAGATGTAAATACCGTAGGATTCTTTTCTACCTCTCTTTCGCTTTCTCTTGTCGCCAGTAGGACGGGTGGCCTTAGCCTTACCGCCTTTCTTTGCTGCTTTACCACTAGTTTTGGGAGGCATGTTGAACGTATGAGGATGAAGTTCAAAGTGACAGTCATTGGCGTTGATTCACTATTTATAGCGAACGATATGCTAATGAAGGATTCTAAACCAAGCGCGCCAAAACCAAACGAACGCAAGAGAAAACACAGTTTTTTAGGGTTTTTTTCATTCAAAGTGTTCATTGTCATTGTTGAGGCGCTGACTGAATGCTATTCATCTCTATCCTCAATTCTGATTGGAAGTATATATTTGCAATCGGAATCCGGGTCGGGTGTATAAAAACAGCCAGTGAGATACCCGCAGTATCATTCTCGTCCTAGTTCGAGCCGAATAGTTAACATACAATCATGTCTGGTCGTGGAAAAGGTGGTAAGGCAAAGGGAAAGTCCAAGACTCGTTCATCCCGTGCTGGTCTCCAGTTCCCAGTAGGTCGCGTACACCGATTCTTAAGAAAAGGCAATTATGCCGAGCGTGTTGGTGCCGGCGCTCCTGTATATTTGGCTGCAGTACTCGAGTACTTGGCCGCGGAAATACTGGAGTTGGCCGGTAACGCCGCTCGTGACAACAAGAAGTCCAGGATCATTCCACGTCACTTGCAGCTTGCTGTCCGAAACGACGAGGAGTTGAACAAGCTCATGTCGGGAGTCACCATCGCCCAGGGTGGTGTATTGCCTAATATCCAGGCCGTTCTCCTGCCAAAGAAGTCCAACCCTAAATCCAAGTAAACCACTAAGTATGCACTGCATACACAAACCAAACGGCCCTTTTCAGGGCCACCACATCCTCCAAAAAGAGAACTACCGTAATAATTATAAATGATGTGTGTTGTTGTGAACGAGTGTAGAATTAGCGTAGCACTCAGAATCGCAAACATTATTGTAAGGGAAGGCAGGCCGGCAGCACGGCGAGATGTTATTTGAATAAAAAAAAAACAATAGTATCTACACAGCTCAGCTCTCGGTGGCGTTTTTGTGACACCGTGCTCTCCCCGCAAATGTAGCAGTCACATGGAAATGCAAAACAACAATCGAGATAAATGCATTAAAGCTTCAATATATCCATCTCACACTCACCACGTATATACACAATTCGCCAAGCAAGGAAGCACGTTGCTATTTGCAATGACGTCTCTGTATTATGTGTTAATATATTATTAGGCATTTTGTATGTGGCGTAAAACGATCGCGAGTGCATCAGTTGATGTGAAAAACGGGTGATTGTAAATGAATTCGTCTCGGTGTTCCAGTTGTGCGAGTGTGCTTCGATTGTAAATCAATTTATTCATGACACACTGTACTGGTCTTCTGATTAGCATTGTATGGAATATGTTATCGACTGGGTGGAGTAGTAAATTAGAGAGCTAGCCTCAGTCGACTATAGTGCCTTGTTTGAAATGGAAAACGGGTAAATTTACTTATACTGACTGGCAAATGAACATTAAATATACGTATATACGTTCACAGACACATACATACATACTATAATACGGTAATTCTCTTTTTGGAGGATGTGGTGGCCCTGAAAAGGGCCGTTTGGTTTGGGTTTATATTCTACGTTTATCTTTTATCTACGTTCTTTTGGCGTGCTCTGTGTAGGTGACGGCGTCACGGATGACATTCTCTAAGAACACCTTCAATACACCCCGAGTTTCTTCGTAGATGAGACCGGAGATACGTTTGACACCACCACGACGTGCAAGACGTCGGATAGCTGGCTTGGTGATACCTTGAATATTATCGCGAAGAACTTTACGATGACGCTTGGCGCCTCCCTTTCCAAGACCCTTGCCTCCTTTGCCACGACCAGACATGTTTGATGAGTTCAGTGTATAGAAGTCAACTGCCTAAATTGATCAAATCTCTCGCACTTTATAGTCTGGTTGCGAACGTGAAAGGACGCGTGGTGGGGTCAATGACCTTTCAGACGACGGTCGAATCCGACTTTAGTCCCACTCTCTTCTTATGTATCACGAACTCGTGTTTGTTTTATTCAGCCCAACACGATCGAAACTGTAAATAATTATTACAGTTCTGAGTCGGGCGACGACGGTAAACGAATGTAGGGCCGTTTGGTTTGGGTTTATATTCTACGTTTATCCACCAAAACCGTACAATGTACGACCCTGGCGTTTTAGTGCGTAGACGACATCCATGGCGGTGACGGTCTTTCTTTTGGCGTGCTCTGTGTAGGTGACGGCGTCACGGATGACATTCTCTAAGAACACCTTCAATACACCCCGAGTTTCTTCGTAGATGAGACCGGAGATACGTTTGACACCACCACGACGTGCAAGACGTCGGATAGCTGGCTTGGTGATACCTTGAATATTATCGCGAAGAACTTTACGATGACGCTTGGCGCCTCCCTTTCCAAGACCCTTGCCTCCTTTGCCACGACCAGACATGTTTGATGAGTTCAGTGTATAGAAGTCAACTGCCTAAATTGATCAAATCTCTCGCACTTTATAGTCTGGTTGCGAACGTGAAAGGACTCACAACGCACTTGAAAAATCTTCTGTCAGATACGCACAATGACAAATAATTCGCACCCATTATATTTTACGTTTCAATCAACATCGCCGCTGATTGGCCATTAGTCACAACCAATAGGAGAGCGCGTGGTGGGGTCAATGACCTTTCAGACGACGGTCGAATCCGACTTTAGTCCCACTCTCTTCTTATGTATCACGAACTCGTGTTTGTTTTATTCAGCCCAACACGATCGAAACTGTAAATAATTATTACAGTTCTGAGTCGGGCGACGACGGTAAACGAATGTAGGCACATTTGACGTTTTAATCAATATACATGACACAGATACTGGTGTACTTCGCATTAAACATACCAGAAAATGTAATGAATCACACTTTCCAAACCCGGTC